ACTCCCCCCAGGTAAATTGAAATAAATTTCACACCCCAACTGCGAAGAACTAGCATACCACCAATAGCCTGGTGAACAGGCTTTCACTCACCTCCCATAGCCAGGTGGCATCAGAGATGTCTCAGGTTTACCCATGTCAGAAGAATGCATCATCCTGCAGGACGAGGTGTGACCGGCTATGAGGAAAGTTCTGGTGCTTACGAAGGTTAAGATCCAGTTTTAGCAGAGAACATCCACGTATGGGGCGCCCCCCCTTGCTGGGGCCGTGTCTACCCCCCCCCAGGCGCCCTCACACTAGGAAATCAGTAATGGACAATTCCTGGGAAGGTCATGCGTCTCAATGATGTATTGGAGGTCCTGGGTACTCTACATGGATCTTTAGTTGGACCTCATTTAGAATACTGTGTCCAGTTCTTGGAGATTTCCCTTCATAAAGATACTGATGAGATAGAACGAGTCCAGAGACGGGGGAACACAAATGGTGAAAGGTCTGAGGGATCAAACATATTCAGGAGAGACTGCTAGGAACTTCGATGATGAACAGTCAGGAGGAAAGAGAAGGGAAAGGATGGACATGACCAAAACCTTTTAATACAACAAGAGGGGGAATAAGGTTCTGGATGGCAGGATGTTCAGTATGAAGCCAAGATGAAGAACACGGGACATGACCTTCCAACTGACTGGAGGAAAGTTCCCAACTCATCTTAGAAAGTCATATTTTCCTGAAAGGGTAGTTGATGGTTGGAATAGACCTCCAGCAGTGCGAGGTAGTGAGGTCATAGTCAGCAGTAAGTGGCTTCAGGAACATGCTTGGGGCAAAACATGGATCTAGACTCAGTACAACACACACAATATAATAAATAAATAAATAACGAAGCAATTAAAAAGGAAACAGACTCGATGGACCACTTGGACTTTGTCTGTTTCCACTTATCTTTGTTTATTATATCCTTTATGTCTCATATGATGCCATGCGTCTCATGTGATGTCAGGGGTCTCGTGATGTCATGCATCTCATGTGATGTCATGGGGTCACGTGATGTCATGCATCTCATGTGATGTCAGAGGTCTCATGTGATGTCATGCTTCTCATGTGATGTCAGGGGTCTCATTTGATGTCATGCATCTCATGTGATGTCAGGGGTCTCATATGATGTTCATGCATCTCATGTGATGTCAGGGGTCTCATATGATGTCATGCATCTCATGTGATGTCAGGGGTCTCAATATGATGTCCATGCATCTCATGTGATGTCAGGGGTCTCATATGATGTCTTGCATCTCATGTGATGTCAGGGTCTCATATGATGTCATGCATCTCATGTGATGTCAGGGGTTCTCATATGCTGTCATGCATCTCATGTGATGTCAGGGGTCTCATATGATGTCAACGATCTCATATGATGTCATGCATTTCATGTGATGTCAGGGGTCTCACATGATGTAATGTGTATCAAGTAATGTAAATTGTTACTTTTGCGGTTGAATTCCTAAACCTGGAGAGTCCAGAAATCTGGTGCAGCTCTGCATAGAAAACAATCAGCTTCCATGGTTTTCCTGTCAAAGCTTCATTGATCCAGCTGAAGGTAGAAGCTGATTGGCTCCCATGCACAGCTGCAGCAGATTTTGCACTCTTCCAGTGTTAGGAAATCTCCCCCTTTGTGGTGTAGAAATGACTTTGAGGATTGGGGGGTGTTTGGGGTTATGGTGAGTATTGGTGTTTTGGTGGTTGCTTGGGGTGGCATGTTTGTGTATGGGTTGTTGTTGGGTGTAGGAAAGTTGTAGGTATATTTTGGTTGTCTCTGTACCATTGAGGAATATGGATCATGCTGAGATAGGGTTGCTTGATGTGGGGCAGTTGGTGGGTGTGGGTCAGTATTTAGTTCTTGTACATCCATTTATGTAGGGTGTGATGTATGTGTTTTGGTGTTCTGGCACAGAGCTGGGCCACCGTCTTAATATTGGGTATTACTGGTATGGCTCTCACTCCCCTCCCCCACACTTGCCCATAGTGGCTCATTATATCCATGCCTTCCCCTCTGTGTGATTTTATACTAATGTGCAGTGTTATAAACGGTCCCGGTTCTGAGATGTGACATGTCCATCCGCTCTGGGTTTAAACATTTGTGCCATATTAACTCTTTCCATGCAGGATGGAAGCTGGGGGTGGGAAGGGTGTAGGGGGGAATACGCTGGACAGATCAGATATTTGATGCACACATGATGACAAACTAACATGCTGACCAGAATTCAATTCATACTGTACCCACCAAGTACATAATTACTAAACATGAATGCTGGGCAGGCCTTGGCACCATCCGGCTGTCTGTAGATGGGACTATACCTTATAAAGGTCTGGGCAGCCGGCATACATGATATGAATGTTAGAGAAAATGTATATATTGTCATGTCATTGATGTGTTATTAGACATTTGTGATCTGCTGGGGATGTCTGAGCTCCTCCCACTATCCCACAAAGTGCTGCCACCCACAGAAATCCCAAACTTATTCTGAGTGCAACCATCAGATGTTTCTCTCCTGTCTATAAATGGTGTAATAATCCCCCCCCCCCCCCCCCATTATACAGGGAGTAATAATTCTCTAATTTCTCCCATACAGACTTTTACCGTTAATAACTTCAGCCTCAAACTTGGTCACTCGGTGGAGGGTGAAGGGCTTCATTCCGGTGGACTGTGAAGTGTAAGTCACGGTTCCATCCTCAGCTACTTATTATACAATAGATGTCTGCTCTCTGTATAATTTGCCTAAAGTTTACCTTGCAGAAGCAGGAAAGTGTTCCATGTACAGTACATCCTACTGACCCCTACACGCTGGGAATTCGGCATGCGTGGTCCCTCAAATGCCTGACATTGTGTTGCTCACAGCAAACTTAGCTTAAATGTTTGTGTCTACATTGACACAATTTCACCATATGAGATGCCAGCTGACTTCTATCTCTCTCCTCCTGGACCTCACCAAACTGTATAGCTGCAGGCACTGTGGAGTAATTTTTCCTCAATCTACAGTAAAGCGCTTCATCGCTACTAATTACCTAGTTAGAGGTCCAATGGTAAGAGGGAATGAAAGGGCACAAAGTAGTGACTTCTCAGCTCCCCCTCCTAGCAGTGACACCTTAGCCCAGATCACCTTTCTCCCTGTCTATTTGGATTGAACACGGTCATTCAAGTCTGATCTCAACCTCTCTGCATGCCCATCCCAACACACACGTTCCTGCTTTAAAAATGGCTGTGTATAAGTGACCGTCGGCTGGAACCGAACACATGCCTGATGAAGGGTGACTGCAAGACTCCAATATGTTGCCACACTGTAACTATGTAATCGTCCATTAAAATGTTTGGACCCATATTGGTGATCCTTGGTGTGCTGGTGACATCCTCCCAGACTTGAATGACTTTACTGTGTTTCTCTTGTGAACTTTCATGAGAAATTCTCCAGTGGCTGCAACTACAAATGTCAGTGAGGGATTCTCTCAGAGCTTAGTTACTTTCTTTTTTTTTTTTTTTTTTTTTTTTTTTTAAGAATATGTAGAAAAGTCTGTCCATATCCAGGCTACAGGTTCACTTTAGGTACTCTTGGCATAGAGTATTACCAGGACCCCATGTTTTTCAAGCAAACTGTCTGTTTTAGTCTCCAAAAATATTATCTGACATAATTGTGACCTTGTATGTGAATCAGAGGTACTTCTCCCACCCGAGTACCACAGGTGAAGGACTCGAGTACTATATCTGACCAGAACTGAGCAGAATATTTGCTTTTTCTGTCTTTCTAGGTTTGCCATAAACTTGGGAACAGATGTGAAGAATTATGTTGCTACACTTTAATCCTCGCTTTTCCTATGGTCAAGACCGGCTCGTGTTAAACTTGAACTCAAAGGTGAACGGTGTCTGGGGAAAAGAGCAAAAGGAAAACTTCTTCCCCTTCCAGAAGGGATCGGACACCACGGTATGTCTACACTGGGAGAGGAAGGAAAAATGGTGGAAAGGGCAAAGTGTCATCACTGTTCATATTGGACACATCAGTCTCTAAAAGATGCAGTAGGCAGCTAGTGATGGCTTGGGTAAAGGGTATATAGGCTTTCTTTGCTATGATGGGTCAATCCTTCAGCTCATTCAATGGAGGATGAGACCCTTCCACATGGGAAGATGCAATGGATTCCATCATGCTGCCATTGATATACCACCTAGCAAATGGTTGCTGTTGGTAACATTAATGGTTGTCAGAAGGAAAATGTTACATGAAAACATTTTGCAAGCCATTTTGTGTATGCATGTCATTGATGTCATACATGTTGGATGAATATTTTAGGAAAACGAGGGAATAGGGATAAGGAAATCCCTGACATGGACTCTGTAAAGTCTCAACTGGGGAGTAGTGGGGGGGGCTGGCCTGCAACTTTAAATCGTGTTTTACCCTAAGCCAGTCATGGTAGATGAGACCCTTGTCCAAGGGCTCACTTGAGCCATGGCTAAGAGGTGTGTATTGGGGCTCCTGGAAGGGGGAGATTGTCATCTGACAGGGAATCCTGTAGAACAGAGCCTTTAGCACTTTCATGGTTCTAATAATTTGGCATGTAGTGTAGATGTTGTATAGCTTGCATGGCATACAGCAGCCTCTCCACCACTGGCCCCAGTGAAACCATTGAAATTTTTTTGATCTCTGGGAAACCCTTACTAAAACCATTTCAGTGTGTTGCCCCATTTTCTGGTAGTGGTCAAAATGCCACTCTTACAGGCAGTGAGAATTTTGTGTCATGAAGCTGGCTCCACAAACTTGTGTTGGGGGTCCAAAAATAGGCAGGTACCATCAAATGGTAGTTTAATTGGCCACAAGTCTAGGTACCCCTAGAAATCTCTGGAGTCCAGGTCTGCTGGCCATTCTCACCCAGGGTTCCTTCAGACTGGCCATAAGCTATCGATCTGAGGGCTCCAGTCATTGATGTAGATGACAGACCGTCTCAGACCCTGTTACTAAAACATTGCAGCTTCATAAGCACATCCTTCCTTAGTCCAGCAAGCTGACACTGCCATCTTTTCTTACAGGTTTCCTTCTTGTTTGAGCAAGACAAGATCACCATACAATTGCCTACAGGAAATCCTTTAACATTTCCAGTCCGCTTTCCCATAAATGAGATCTCCTACTGGGTTTGGAAACCCTCCAGCTAAAGTCCATCACACTGACGTGAAGAATCTGCAATAGAGGAGCCACCTCTCCCACGTGTCCATATCCCGGCTCTTGTGAAATGGCCATAATGGATGGAGAGAAATGTTATCCTGTCTTGTACCCTTCTCCTTCCAATCTGCCTCCTTGCTGCTCATGTAGCCATACATTGTGCTTTGCTCAGATCACTTGCTAGAAATGAATTTCATCCACATTTCAAATAAAATCCTGAGCTCTATTGTGTCTGATCAATCTTATTATTGAGCACTAAACTGACTCTGTATTCATTGCTGTAGTCAATAGCGCCCTCCTGCTGGAGGTTGGTTGCATTACTTCTAGGCTGCATTCACACTTGAGCCACTTGTAGCTTTAAGTTCTGAAGCTCAAACTTGAGGAAATAAAATTTGTTCTCTATGGTGCCTGTTCACACCTGATCACACAAACGGGCACCATAGAGAACAATTTGAGGTTTTTGGAGCTTCAAGCTACAAAATGCTCAAGTGTGAATGTAGCCTTAGAAGGTACACAGTAGCTGTGGCAGTGAATGTAGTAGTACCCCAGCAGGGGAAGGAGATGCTGGAGCAGCTTTAGTCTCAGTGTACGGGTAGTAGACTAGGGGTAGTAGTAACTACATAGCATGGGGAGTAAAGTGGTGGCAGCATAGGAAGGATAGTGTTGAGAAAATGTAATATTTGTAGCAGGGGGTATGGCGGCTATAAGGTACATTGGGTGGAGGAGGGGTAGGAGTATTCTAGCAGAAGTGTGGTAGTAATGGCATAGCATTGGTAGTGATAGGAGTAGTACTAGTTGTAGTAAGATGGTAATAGTAGTAGCATTGGGTGTGGTAATATTTGCAGCAGTATAGTAAAGGAAGTGGAAATTGCCAACCAGTCAGTGTATAGACTGCAGCTGGTTGGCACCAGCAGACAGAACATGAACATCACTTTGGCAGCTTGGGCTAAGAAGGGTGCCAGGCCGTCCCCACACAACTGCTGTGCCCAGTGGTGTATTTAGGTTTTGTGCTGCCCTAGCACAATGATTGTCTGCCCCCACGAAGAGAGCCTGACATTGACCAACACCCCTGTCCACCAACCGGTAGAGCCGAAATGGTGAAAGGTCTGAGGGATCAAACATATCAGGAGAGACTGCAGGAACTTCATATGTACAGTCTGGAGGAAAGAAGGGAAAGGATGGACATGACCAAAACCTTTCAGTACATCAAGAGGGGGAATAAGCTTCTGGAGGGCAGGATGTTCAGTATGAAGCCAAGATGAAGAACACGGGACATGACCTCCAACTGACTGGAGGAAAGTTCCCAACTCATCTTAGAAAGTCATATTTTCCTGAAAGGGTAGTTGATGGTTGGAATAGACCTCCAGCAGAGGTAGTGAGTCAGTCAGCAGTAAGTGGCTTCAGACATGCTTGGGGCAAAACATGGATCTAGACTCAGACAACACACTCACCAATAAATAAACAAGGATACATTTAAAGGAAGCAGACTTGATGGACCACTTGGACTTTTTTCTGCTTTCACTTATCTGTTATTTTTATGATTGTGATGTCAGGGGTCTCATGTGATGTAATGTAAATTGTTAATTGTTGCGGTTGAATTCCTAAACCTGGAGAGTCCAGAATCTGGTGCAGCTCTGCATAGAAACCAATCGGCTTCCAGGTTTCCCTGTCAAAGCTTCATTGATCCAGCTGAAGATAGAAGCTGATTGGCTCCCATGCACAGCTGCAGCAGATTTTGCACTCTCCAGTGTTAGGAAATCTCCCCCTTTGTGGTGTAGAAATGACTTTGAGGATAGTCCTCTTTTGCCCCCTTGCTGTTTGTGGTGACATCCCAGCAGAGTGACGATGGACGACCCATGCTCCGTCACAGCGGATCCACATTTCATTCATTCTCTGTAATGAGGTTCTGGAACAATTGTCAGTCCAGGGAGCAGTGGGCGGAGTGATCCCTCCCTCCTGACTGGCTCCACCCTCAGCAGACCCTATATAAGAAGTAGAAGAGCAGCTGATCACAAGTGTCTCTGATAAGGAAGCAGGATGGCAGATAATGTGAGTATGAGCACTGGTGGAAGCTGCAAGAGCTGAGTGAATGGCTTCTGTGGGGCATGGTGGGTAATGGTGAGTATTGGTTTGCTTGTTGTGGACACAAGTTGGTGGCGGGCTGGTTTGATGTTGGTGGTGGAGGTATATGTATGAGCACTGGTGGGAGCTGCAAGAGCTGAGTAAATGGCTTCTGTGGGGGATGGTTGGGTGTAGTGTTGTGGGCTGAGGATGGTGATGGGGTATGGTGTTGTCGGCTGAGGATGGTGATGGGTGTAGTGTGTTGTGTGTGTAATGTGGAGGGTATAAGGTTGCTAGATGTTGGCAATGGTTGGTTTGGTGTTGCTGGAGGAGGCCATTGATATGTCGGGGGGCATTTAGTTGCTGAGTTTGGGTGGTGATGGGTATAGCTTGGTGTATGGTATGATATTAGTTCTTTGTCTGTGGTGTGTGTGTGGGGGGGGGGCGTTTGCTATCAAACTCATTGGTGGCCCCTTACGTTGGTGGCCAGTGGTAAGAATGCCCCACTTACAGCAGTGGTCAAAATTCCACTTACAAGCCGTGAAAAGCTCATTGGCATCATGAAGCTGGCACCCAAAATACAGGTACCATTAAATGGGAGGTTAATCAGCCAAAGCTGAAGGAACTCTGGGTGGGTGAGAATGGCTGGCAGACCAAGACTCAACTGGCCAACAGCTATTGATCTGAAGGCTCCAGTCATTGTTCTAGGGGACTCTGTCACTAAAACTTCAACACAAAGAATACATGCACATATCTTCTGGAAAGGTTTTAGTTGTGTTATTTGTGTATTGTCTGTACAGCCAGCAGTCATTGACTTGCCACCTTTTCTTACAGGTTTCCTTCTTGTTTGAGCTGGACAAGATCACCATACAACTACCTGCAGGAAATCCCCTCTCCTTTCCAGTCCGCTTCTCCATAGAGGAGATCTCCTACTTGGGCTTGAGAAGCCTCCAGATAAAGTCCATCACACTGAAATGAAGAATCCAGCAACAGAAGAGGCACGTGTCCATATTCAGGCTCTGTGAAACGGCCATAGTGGATGAAGAGGTTTTTTTCCTGTTTTGTGCCTGATCAATAATTTTTTTTTTTTTTTTTTCTTATTCAGCTCTAAACTGACTTTGTATTGATTGCTGTGGTGGATAGCATTTCTGCCTGCTGCATAGCGCCCTCCTGCTGGTGGCTTGCTGCATTACTCTTACCTGTAAGAGGGTGCTAATGCTGCATTTCCTGCATGCATAGGCTGATTTCTTGGATTTCCATTAAGACTAAAACTTTCTGATTTTAAATATTTTATAAAATGTTTGGCTTCCCTGAGCTTTAACTCTAGATTTTAAGCAAAAGGCTGATCTCACACGGATCTGTTTTCTCTTCTGGTTTTTATTTTTTCCTTTTTTAGAATCCTGCTTGCTGCATTTTTGGTTGCAAAAAAAATGCTGTAAATGTTTGCCGCAGACCAGCGTGTAAGTTGCCTAACAATTACATGCTGAAAAAGTGGCAGCTGCAGAGGTAGGGTATGGGCATGACCCAGGTAGGGTGGAGGGATACTGGAAATTAAACATAATCATGGCCACCAATTATTGTACAATGGCCAGTTATTTATCAGAGAGAACAGACACCAATTCTTAAGGACCTGGCTTTATTGTACTTGACTTTTAGGTTTGGCAGTGCCACCCAATGTCATGTCGCCTTGGCAACCTGTACCGGCCACCAGCTATTCATAACCAGCTCAGTGGGAACACTCCAGTAATTTTACACCATTATTCACCTGGAATAAACCATGGTAAGTACTTCCTTCATGAACCCCCCCCCCATCATACATATTTGTGACCCTTAAGTTCAAACATTACCAACAATTTTACTTTTTCGCACCATCAAGGATCTGCTGATGTTACAAAAGTACATTCTCTAACCATACCTAAATTCCCTAAACTTGTGCATTACTGGTCATAATCTATATCTGTACATCTACCACTAGGGTAGGTGGGTGGGCCAAATTGCTCACCACATTCTGTACCTCCAAGACTTTGCTAACCTCTGATCCCCTCCTCCCCATGTCATATTCTGAACTCTTCTGACTTGTGTTTCTTCTCCTCTACCACCCCCCCCCCCCCCCCCCACCATGCAGTGTACTGTGGCTTGAATTCAGTGTTTGGGGGTCGTCTGACAAACTGTCTCCGCCCACTAGACCCAAAAAGAACAATCTTACTTTCATCAGTCCACAAAATGTTGCGCCATTTCTCTTTAGGGCGGTCAATGTGCTCTTTGGTAGATTGTAACCTCTTCAGCACACGTCTTTTTCCCAACAGTGGGACTTTGCGGGGACTTCTTGCAGATAGCTTGGCTTCACATCGGCGTCTTCTAATTGTAACAGTCCTCACAGGGAACGTCACACCTTCTTTCATCTTCCTGGAGCTGATTGTTGGCTGAGTCCTCACAGGGAACGTCACACCTTCTTTCATCTTCCTGGAGCTGATTGTTGGCTGAGTCCTCACAGGGAACGTCACACCTTTTTTCTTCTTCCTGGAGCTGATTGTTGGCTGAGTCCGTCCCATTTTGGCTATTCTTCTATCCATTCCAATGGTAGTTTTTTTTTCGCTGTCTTTCAGGTTTTGGTTGCCATTTTAAAGCATTTGCCATCATTTTAGCTGAGCAGCCGATCATTTTCTGCACTTCTTTATATGTTTTCCACTCTCCAATCAACTTTTTAATCAAGGTACGCTGTTCTTCTGAACAATGTCTGAACAGCAGCTAAACTCGGAAGCAGATCAGGCAGCAATTGCTGAAGGGTACAACATACATTACAGCTCACTGATTAGTTGCTAGCGGTTACAGCACGTGATTCTGGATTGGTTGATGGAGGTTGCTACACAATATTACCACTCACTGGTTGTTAGAGGTTCCTGTACATCATTACTGATCACCCATTGGTTGCTAGAGGTTACTATGCATCCTTACCACTTACTGAATGGTTGTTAGAGGTTACAGCACTTAATTATCTCACCCATTGGTTGCTGAAGGTTACAGCACATCATCTCCTTACAGCCTGCACACCAGGACTGAAGGTTAGGGGACCCACCAATAGAAAACTCCTGGGATCAATGGCAGTGCTGGGGGGAGAATTGATGGGAGCAGTGGTGGGGAGGATGGGGGTAAGTGGCAGTGCTGAGATGGGATGAGTGACAGTGTTTTGGTGGGATGGGATCAATGGCAGTCCTGGATGGGGATGGGAGGTGACATTTCTACACTGACCGCCAGTGTTAGGGGGAATAAAACTGATGACTAATGTAAGGGGGATTCACATTGACCACCAGTATTAGGTCAGGTCTGCACTTACCACCAATATAAAGGGAAACTCACACTGGCCACCAATGTACTTGAAAATTTGCATTGACCACCAAGGTAAAGAAGAGTTTACACTGACAACTAATGTAATGGGAGATTTTACACCAGCACATTTCTACACTGGTCACCAATGTAAGGGGGCATTTACACTGACCACCAGCAGAGGTGTTGGTGGCTGGAACCTCAGGGGCATAATATATATGTGAATGCCACATTGATGTCACTACATAGGAATGTTGCCATTATTTACATGTGATTACTGACAAGGTCTGCACATGTGAGTCATCTGTACATGGCAATAGGACAGAGCTGGGCAGCATAAGTGACAGCACTGAGATATTGGACACAGCCTGGGACAAAGATTTCAAGGGACAAGGAAATGTAAACCAATACAGTTGGCAAGTATGGGGCAGATGTTTTGGGCCACACAACAATGACTGGGCCCAGGGCAGCTGTCCCTTTTGCCTTTCCTTAAAGATGGCCCTGGTGTAGCTTCAGGGCATTGTGGCATAATCAAGGATTGCCAATGTGTTGGTAACTTCAGTTGGGTTTTTACTAATGGGTCTAACAAATCCATTTTTTGTAGAGTCAAACTGATTTTCAATTGCTATGGGCCCCAATAAGCTTTGGAAATATGATCCTAGAGCCATTATATGGTAGGTGGTACAAGATCTAAGGCATTTCTTTACTTCAGTTTTCAAACCTGGCTCATAGACCTGGTCAGTGCTACTTGCCACAATTTTCAAAGCACCCAGGTCTCCCCAGAAAAAATGTGCCAGTTTGAGAAGCTACCATCTGTACAGCTAGGACACCAACAGTTTCTCAACAATGTCTTCCCCCAACCTTGCTAACCAATAAAGTAAGTCTTTGTTGATTGCAACATTAGGCCATCTCTCATTTGCTTACAGCTTTTGGGGATTCCTAACTTATAACTACAATCTATTCACTTGCCAGGGCCAGAGTAGGGTTATGCATCTGGACTATGCCAAAAAACGTACCTTGGACACCTCCAGTTTAGGGAGGGTAAGACTAAAGATGGTCTCCTCTCTCCTCCCCAAACATAACTTGTAAAGGAGATGTCTCTCCACTCCCTCACAGCTTAGTTTCAGGACCTATCTTCCTGTCACTGGAAACCTTCCCACTTTGGGCTGGGGAAGCAGACTCTTCATCATACTCAACATTGCACATGTCATCGTCTGAGATTTTTATAACAATGTCCTCCAAATGTTGGAGGTCTGTTCTACCCATCTGGTCAGACTTCTTCCTCCCCACAGTTTGTAGAATCTGGGAAAGGTGTGTTCCGCTTTCATAGGTTGTACCGGATTTCTTACCAGTCCACCGTCATGTAGACCTCTCTCGTGTGCTATTAAAATAGTGTAGAATATTATAGGCAAAATCATTGTGGATAACTCATGGTAGTTGTGTGAGTCATGTGATTGGGGCTGGGTTATTGCAGGTCAGCTGGATGATTCAACTGGTTGTTTCTCTATCGCCTTGTCCTGACTCTGGGTGACCATAGAACCTTCCAGAAGACAATAAAAAGGAAGGGGTGGAGGCCCAATCTGCATATTAATGGTAGGTCTTGCCAATCCCAGGTTTGGTGGAGTGGTTGACTGGCCTATAAATATGGGGGAGTCAGGCTGACAGGGGAGTCATGTGGAAGATGGATTGCTGAGATGACTGTCGGTGGCTAAGAGAGGTACCCTAGGGCTGGGGGGGCCAGCCTCTAGGCTAGACTCGGGCTGGCTCAGGAGGATACATTCTGCAGAATGTTGCAGATGGTATTAAGGTCTGGAGCAGCAAAGATGACAGTGTGAGGACAGCAGCACACTTTTGGATCTACAAGGGGAAACACTGCTGAACATAGCAAGCTTTCTAAAAACAGCGCTGGGCTCAATCTTTCATCCTTGTCCTGGGAGATGTTCTGAGAGGCCAAGAGAGAAAGTGATGCTTGCAGGCTGTGGAGCTGCTCTATAAAGGGGACATAGCTACAAGGAGTGAAGTGATTGTTTTGAGGCGCTGCAAATCCCTTGCCTGGGCAGCTGCTACTGAGCCACGATGACTGATAGCTTTCAGGAAAAGAACAGTCCAGGATCTGCTTTCGTACATAGGAAGGAAGTGTCCCCCATTTCATTGATTCAAGCCAACCTGAGAATCCCATAATTCTTATTTCCTTATCCAAGTTGAATTCCCCAAAGAAAACAAAAACCCAAGCCCATGGGCTGGTCCCTGTCTTTGGTTGCAAGTCTGTGTGAGAAATTCTTGTTTTCTGTGTGGAGGGACGCTTAGGGTTATCCACAACACAGCAGCCCTTACAAGGGTAGCACTACACCCCATTTTAGGAGAGGGGTCCTTTGAATGCATTGTAGTCATCAACTGGGTTTCAGTCACAGCTCTCCTGGACTCAGGGAGTATGGTGACCGTGGTAGCAGACAACCTGGTCATTGAGGTTCAGCCAATATTATTTTAGGTACTTAAAGAGCGCCATCCATTTACACATATTATGTATTCACATCAGTCCCTAACCCACAAGGGGTGTACAATCTAAGGTCCCTAACCCACAAGGGGTGTACAATCTAAGGTCCCTAACTCACATTCATACACATACTAGGGACAATTTAGACAGGAGCCAATTAACCTACCAGTATGTCTTTGGAGTGTGGGGGGGAAACCGGAGTACCCAGAGGAAACCCACACAGGCAGAACATGCAAACTCCAGGCAGGTGATGCCGTGGTTGGGATTCTAACCAACGCCCCGAGTACTGCCAGGTGGACGTGCTAACCATTTAGCCACTGTGCTGCCCCATAAAGACACTTTGGGTTGCCTGTATTCACAGAGATACAAGGACCTACCCACTGGTGCCCATATTCATTACTACCATCTATAGATCTATTGAATATGAGGCTGAACTGGTAAAAAAAAAATCCTGTACATCCAATGATGGTGGGATGCAATGTTCCCAGATACCTGAAACTGAGGAAGAAGGGATCTGAACAGATGGGTAGAGCCAACATTTAGAGGACATTGTTATAAACATCCCAGATGATCTATGCGATGTTGAATATGATAAAGTGTCTGCTTTCCCAGCTCAAAGTGGGAAGGTTGCCAGTGCCAGGAGGACCCTAAAAACGTAGACGTACCCACCATAAACTGGAAGTGTCCAAGGTATGTTTTGGCGCAGTCCAGATGCATAACCCTAAAAATCTAGCAGCGAATGAGATATGGCCTGATTTTGTAGTCAATAAAGACTTACTTTTGGGTTAGCAAGGTTCAGGAAGACACTGCTGAGCAACTGGTGGTGCCCCAGCTGTACAGATGGTAGGTTCTCAAACACATGTTTTGTGGGCATACCTGGAGGCTTTCAAAGCAGAGGCACATATCACTGACCAGTTCTATTACCCGGGCTTCAAAACTGAAGTTAAGAAATGCTTTAGATCTTGTCCCACCTACCAGAAAACCACTCTAGGATCACATTTTCTAGGCTTCTTGGGGCGCATATCAATTGAAAGTAAGTTTGACCAACAATCGAGCTAAATAGGTCCATTGGTAAAAATGTAACTGAAAAGTTTCAGCACATATTAGTGATCCTGGATTATGCCAATTGCTGGCCTGAAGCTTTACTTCTATTTCACCAATTTACTAGAACAGGTTTTCCCAATGATGGGTGTAAACTAATTCAGATTAGACAGCTGAGCACATTCTATCATCTGCAGATGGATGGCCTGGTGGAACATTTCAATAAAACCCTAAAACCTGTGCTTAAGCGGATGGCACAAGAGGATGAGAAAGATTGGGAGCGACATATTGCCCTCACTCCTTATAACCATTTGTGCACCACTTCCAGCCTCCACCCCTTGAATTGGTTTTTTGCTGGCCAACTTAAAGTTATTCTGGGGACCTAGGAACACTCACAAAACTACCCCTACCTTCTGGGGACCCTACAACACTGCTACCTACTGACCCTTCTGGGGACCTACTACAACACTCACTGATCTCCTTTGGAACCTGGACCATATACATCTTTTGGAATACTGATCTTCTGGGAACGACCTGGCTCAACTTTTTTTCTATCTAATACTTCTGGGTAACCTACTACAACACTGATACTACTACTACCTTCTGGGGACCTCTACAACAGGCTGACCTACTACCTTCTGGGGACCTACTACTAATATATACTACTACCTTCTGGGGACAGGAGATATACTAGAACACCATAATCCTGATATACTACCTTCTGGGGACCTACTAAACAAAAAAAAACCTAAAACACAGAAGTACCTTTGAGGGGACCTACTAAGCACTTTTATACTTTTTGGGCTGGCTACAAACTAAACTACCTTCTGGGGACCTACTACAACACTGCTATACTCCTACCTTCTGGGGACCTACTACAACACTGATACTACTCACACTTCTGGGGACTACTACAACACTGATACTACTACCTTCTGGGGACCTACTACAACACTGACACTCACTGCTGGGGACTACACTGATACTACTACCTTCTGGGGACCTACAACACACACTGATACTACTCCTACCTTCTGGGGACCTACAACACTCACTGCTACTACTCCTACCTTCTGGGGACCTACAACACTCACTGCTACTACTCCTACCTTCTAGGGAGCTACTACAAACACTCACTGCTACTACTCCTACCTTCTGGGGACCTACAACACACTCACTGATACTACTCCTACCACCATTGCAACTAACACCCTTACTATGCAACACTTGGTCGTACAAGTTTTAGGAGTAATTGTAGCACCAAGTATTGCATAGTAAGGGGTGTGGTAGTAGAATAAATCAAATATAGGAGTAGCAGTAGTTGTACCAGTGGGTTGGTGGTAGTAGCATCTTAAGAGGAAAAAGTGGTGGTACTACTCAGTAGTACAGTGATTAGGAGTAATTGTATGCACTGAGTGTACTACCACCACTTCCTTTCCTCTAAAGATGCTAATACCACCAACCCACATTGGTACAACTACTCTACTCCTATGTAGGATCTATTGTTCTACCATACCCCTTACTATGCTGCTACTGCAAATATCACACCTATTGACTACCACACTGCTACAAATACCAAATCCAGATACCACCTTCCTCTGCTACCCTACCCTTTCTATGCCACTTGTTTACTACGTTTTTACGAGTACCCCTAGCACTGCTCCTGCCAACACTGGGGTAGTACCACATTCACTGCCGCAACTACTGCCCATACCCCACCACTGCCTATACTGGGCAAATCCACTACAGCTGCTTTTCTTGCATTTGATCTACATAGTTTGGACCTTCTGAAACTGCATTTCTCACCATGCAGTAGACCAAACACTCTAACCAGTCAACCCTCCAAACACTCTGTATACAGCTTTCAGTCTAGAGCCAGAAAAGTTACATCAAAAAGAAATAAATTGTTTTACAGGAAGTCAGACCATGCAGGCAGAAAATGTCATTCACACCCTCTGTTGGGTACTGCCTGCCTTTTAAAGGGTAAGGCAACAAAGGCTCCAGCAGGAGGGCGCTATGCAGCAGCAGAGATTTGCTTTCAACTTCAGAAATCAATCCAAAGACAGTTTAGCACTAAATAAGATGATTGATCAGACACAATAGAGCTCATTGGATTTTATTTGAAATGTGGATAACATTCGTTTCTAGTAAAATGATCTGAGCAAAGCACAATGGTGTCTACATAAGAAGCAAGGATGCAGATTGAAGGAAGGGGTACAAGACAGGATTAAGGAATGTTATTCCCCTTCATCCACTATGGCCATTTCACAGCCTGGATATGGACACGAGGGACAGGGGGCTCCTCTATTGCAGCATTCATCATTTTAGTGTGATTGACTTGAGCTGGAGACCTATCATGGCCAAGTAGGAGATGACCTCTATGGGAAGGCGGACTGGAAATGTGAAAGGATTTCCTGTAGGCAATTGTATGGTGATCTTGTCTAGCTCAAACTTGAAGGAGACCTGTAAGAAAAAGAGATGGCAGTGTCAGCTTGCTGGATTACAAAAAGTCAATGAGTGTTGGCTGGAGAGACCACCAAGCCATTCATTTCAACAAAAATCTTTCCATGAAATATGTAGACCAAAGTAAAGGGCATTTTCTTCATTGACTACCAATGAATTGGTTTTAAAAGGGTTATTCAAAACCTAAAGTTTAAGGGATCCTCTGGGGCAAAAGGTTGGGAAAGGCTGCTGTATGCCATGCCAGATATGTTGTGTAGACACTACACATGGAAGGTGAGAACTTCAGGACTGAGGCTCTGGCATTTTACGGTGAAACCACGGAACAACATTTGATGTGTGTATAACAATGGGAATCAGATTCTAATAAACATAGTGAGTGCTAAAAGCAAAGAAGCAGCCACAGCATCAAAAAGGATACCAAATAACCTGGCAAAAAACTCAGTATAATAGATGCGGCGCTAAATGCAAATAGTTATAAACAATATTACAAAGTGTCTAATACCCCCAGTGCCAATATAGTTGATGCGAATATATGGTGAGCATATATCAAATGACTAATGTGATCACATGTATTCCATCACTGACAAAGTGACACACAGTGCAAAATGGCAGTCTTAGTGAAAACGTGGGAGATGAAAATCCCCTCCATCAGAGTGCTTCTTCCAAGCCGTGATAATGGAAAAAAAAAAAAAAAAAAAAAAAAAAAAAAGAAGTGAAGGCTGTGCACTCACCAGATGCACAGTAACTGCGCATTTAGAGACAAAATTTCTCTACTGGATCCGCTGATTCCTAAAGATTTGGATCTGGTCTGGTATTCCTCACCCTGCTTAATACTGCTGGTAATCCTTGGTCTCTCCTTTAACTGGCTCTCATGAGGTGGATGTAAAGATGGCCTCCAGGACCTCCGTGGTGCCGGCGGTGTGATGTCACGACGCTGTAGCTCCTTCCCTGATGCGTTTCGTGCTGATCGCACATCAAAGGGGGGTAAGCTGGGAAGCGTGCGATTAGCACGAAACACATCAGTGAAGGAGCTACAGCGTCGTGATGTCACACCGCCAGCACCATGGAGGTCCCGGCGGCCATCTTTACATCCACCTCATGAGAGCCAGTTAAAGAGACCAAGGATTACCAGCAGTATTAAACGGGGTGAGGAATACCTGACCAGACCCGATCCAAATCTTTAGGAATCATCAGCAGATCCAGTAGAGAAATTTGTCTCTAAATGCAGTTACACTGCATCTGGTGAGTGCACAGCCTTCACTTTTTTTTCATTATCACGGCTTGGAAGAAGCACTCTGATGGAGAGGGATTTTCATCCCCCACGTTTTCACCAAGACCCAGTCCCATTCATACATGTCCGTGACAGGGGTCCCATCTATTATGACCAACTTGGTTAAATAAATGATTATTCTAGGTCAGCGATTTCTTGTTCTACCCCATATAGAATTAAGCCTGGTCACTTTTTGTTTGAGGAATTCTGCCCCCAGAGATTAATTTAGATCAACAGAATTAATCCACAGTAATATCCATTTTCTGTACCCCCTCCCCCCCAATCTCACATTGGGATTCCCTTGGTTACTTCTCAATACACCATCATCTCTAGCCATTCCCCATTAAGCCCACAGCACCCATAAGTGGTCCCTCCATAACAGTTGTAGATTATGCTGATGAGCTTCAGTTCCCAGCCAGCCCCCCCATTACTCCCAAGACTGAACCGCTATAGTGACATGTCATTAGGGATGTCCCAATCCTCATTCCCTCTACATTGGATCTTCCTATGTGGGAGGTTCTCATCCTTAATGGAAGGAGTTTGGGGGGGGGACCATCATAAAACCTATATACCTTTGACCCAAGCCATCACTGGCTGCCTACTGTATCTTTCAGAGATAAATATTATGTGTCCAATATGAACAGTGATGACACTTTGACCCATCTAGCATTTGTCCTGCCCCTCCCAGCATACACATACCGTGGTGTCTGACCCCTTTTTTAAATGTGAAAAACTTTCCATTTATTTATTTGTCACTGTGCACACTTCTTATGGTTCATATGATTTCAAGATTGTCACTTTTTCTTTTTATTTGTACAAATATAGGGTTAGAAGTGTTTAGCTAAATTCTTTCATATGTCCCCAAGTTATGACAGGATGGCCTAGAACAACTTTGGTTCTGCTAGTATTGAGCTAGATAAAGAGGGAGAGTCATTTTCACCAATGAGTGCTCAAAAGGCTAGATATAGAAGGAGTCACTCCCACCAATGTGCTCAAGGCGTGATATAGAAGCTGTTCCCATGATGGCCTTGACTCAAGTCATTAGTGAGTAGAACACCTACTTCATTTCACCAATGGTGCTCTCAAGGCCTAGACCCTATAGAAGGAGTCTTTTCACACAATGGTGTCTGACCAAGGCTGGAAAGAAGGAGGTTTCACCAATCTTGTCCCAAGGCTCATCCTTCATAGTTCAAGGAGTCATTCACCTTCTTGTCTTCAAGCTGTCAAATCGAGGGTTAAAGTGAAGAGCTAAATTTTTCTCATATGTTCCCAAGTTTATGACAAACCTAGAACAACAATTATTCTGCTCAGGTGATTGTGCTAGATATAGAAGGAGTCATTCACCAATGGTGCTCAAGGCTAGATATAGAAGGAGTCATTCACCAATGGTGCTCAAGGCTAGATATAGAAGGAGTCATTCACCAGTGTGGTGCTCAAGGCTAGATATAGAAGGAGTCATTCACCAGTGGTGCTCAAGGCTAGATATAGGAGTCATTCACCAGTGGTGCTCAAGGGTTTCATAGGTACTTCTGCCACCTTTATCATTCATATTACAAACTTATATATAAATTATATCCGCTAATATTTTTGGATTTTGGGGGGGGGGGGGGGGGGGAATATGGGAATACATATCCAAATACTAAAAAATACCTGCCATGAACCTGTAGCCTGGATAAGGACATGCAGTTATTTACATATTCCTAAATAGTGGACAGAAAGATTTAAAAATCCCTCACTGGATTTGAAGTTGCAGCCACTGTGGAACAATTCATCCTGAAATCTCACCAGAGAAACACTGAAGTCATTTAAGTCTGGTCCCAGCTCTCCTATTCTAGTAGTAAGAGGGAGAAGGGTGATCTGAGCTGCAGAGTCACGGTTTGTTAAGGAAGCAGAGTGACCTAAGCAACGTATGGGAAAGGGAGCAGGGGGAGGTGGGCTGCTGCTGGGAGAAGGAACAGGGTGTAAGGGACCGCCTGGCGGTACCACTAGCACTCCACTGGTCAGACGTCCCCAGCGCACCGAATCTAAGCCCCAGGGTACGTGTTCACCAGGGCCCCTGATGGTGGGGATGGACTTGAAGTACCCTGAGACCAGGTCGTGGCTACTGAGTACACCTGTCAGTGGTAGCAGTATTCGCCAGGGGCTCCCACAGGGAAGAGCCTGATATGAGGAGGTCGGGTGATTCCGTTGGGGGGATGGATGGCTGAGCAAGTGCAAGGTCAAACAGGCCGGGTCGGTAACTGAGGGGACGGAACGGTACAAAGCAGCGGGCAGAGAGTAGTCGGGTCACACGCCAGGTCAGCAACGGAAGGTCAGATCTAAACGGGGGCATTCAGGAGAGAGGTCAGGCAAAGCAAGGGTCTGGGCAGGAGAAGGCAACAAGGTCAGGTACAATCCGGGTCAATAACTTGCTTACACAGGTTCGCAGATACAGGATACAAGGAAAGACCAGAAGGCACTGAATGACAGCTCAGGGCCATTTAAATATCCCGCCCTGCGCTGTCATTGGTGCCAAGCGCGCGCCCGCGGCCTCTACTGCGCATGTGCGGGACTCGAACGCCGTGGCCGGCCAGGACCTAGTGCCCGCGTCCCTGCACAGGACGGCGCACTGCACCTGCGCCGGGACCAGCGCCGCGGCGATCTCCGACACAGGGTGAGCTGGGGTTTCAAATCATGTCCCAGAGAGCAAAAGTGAGCTGGGCTGCTGCTGAGACTTGCAAATCACTGCTGTGGAAGGGAGAAGGGGGAACTGGGATAAGGAGTCACTACTAGGAGGGGGGCTGAACAAGTTAAATCTGGGAAGGTGAGCTACTGCTGGGAGATGGGAGCCGAGAAGTCAGTACTACTTGGTGCCCAATCACTCCCTGTTGCCATTCCAGGGATGTTTGGAACCCCAACTAGGTATGTGATTGTGATGAGGTGCCACGGATGAATTTCTCCATTGTGCCTGCATCTACACATGTTAATGGGGTCCAGGAGGAGAGAAAAGACAGATTTAAAAGCAGTCATGAAATATGACAACTGACATGCATTCTGCCAAGTTTTATCCAAATATTTGATCTTAGTTTGCTCTCAGCAGAACCACCTGATGTCATGTTAGAGGGACCACGCAGACCAAAATGACCAGTGAGGGGTCAGTAGGATGTATTGTACACAGAGCACACACTTCTCAACTGTTGGGAAAAATTGTATTATACAGAGAGCAAACATTGTACAATAAGTAGCTGAGGCGAGAAACATGACTTACTCTTTACAGTCCAACGGAATGAAGCCCTCCACCTCCACGGAGTGACCAGGTTTGAGGCAGATAGTACAAAAGAAAAATTTCTGTATGGGAGAAAGGAAAAACTATTACAGCCTATAATAGAGGGGGGGTGTATGTATTACACCCTGTATAAAGACAGAAGAGACCTAGCATGGCTGCAGTTACTGTACTCAAGATAAATTTAGGGTTTGGTGGTTGGTAGCATTCTCAGATCCTTGTGTGGGACAGTAGAGGAATCAGACAACTCCAGCAGAACACAAATGTCTAACAGAAGATGTATGCCGGCTGCCCAGACCTTTATACAAGTTATAGTCCTAGCTATAGACAGCCGGATGGTGCCAATTACTGACCGGCACAAGGCCTGCCCAGCATTCACATTTAGTAATGCATTTGGTGTGTACAGTATGAATTGAATTCTGGTCAGCATGTTAGTTTGTTAGGTGTACATCAAATATCTGAACTGTCTGGAGACCACCCCATACCTCCAACCACAGGCAGACTGACAACTCATGGGGCTTCCAGGCAATAAGGGATTATAGGCCACCCCCCCCCCCCCCATGTCCTCACCCACACCCAAAAAAAAGCCTATGAAAAAAGCCAATGAAAAAGGTACCACAGGAATCTCATGGGGCCCCCTACTGACCCTGGGCCCTCAGGCAGTGCCCAAGTGTTCAAATGGTCAGTCCACCCCTGCCTCCAGCTTTCATGTGGCATAGAAAGGCAATGATCTGGCACAATGGAAGAACCCAGAGGGATGGATGGACATGTCACATCTTAGACTAGAACCATAATATTTATAAAACCCACATGGCAAATTTAAGAAAAAAAAAAAAACCCACACGCAGGAGGCACAGAAATGATGAGTGGAGAAGAGCTCTGTCAGGATATCAAAAGGAACTAAAAGTGCAAAAACTAAACCTACACCCAGCAACACTGCACTCTCCAGTGCCAACACCCAACAACCCACTTCCAACCAGCACCCTCAGCCATCAACATAACACCAAAAACTGCCCATATCCATCACCATTTACTGCTAATACCCAGCAACCCTATTCCTTCCACTGCCAACACCTAGAAGTACAATACCAACCCCTAACCACACAACCACCCCAACCAGCAGGGCCCACGCCCAGCCACACCACCCCAACCAGCAGGGCCCACGCCCAGCCACACCACCCCAACCAGCAGGGCCCACGCCCAGCCACACCACCCCAACCAGCAGGGCCCACGCCCAGCCACACCACCCCAACCAGCAGGGCCCACGCCCAGCCACACCACCCCAACCAGCAGGGCCCACGCCCAGCCACACTACACCTACCACTACCTACAAAAGCCATTTGCTCAGCTCTTGCAGCTTCCACCAGTGCTCATACATATACCTCCACCCACCCACATCAAACCAGCCCGCCACCAACTTGTGTCCACACCAAGCAAACCAATACCCACCACACTACACCCACCATCCCCCACAGAAGCCATTCACTCAGCTCTTGCAGCTTCCACCAGTGCTCATACTCACATTATATATCATCCTGCTTCCTTATCAGAGACACTTGTGATCAGCTGCTCTTCTACTTCTTCTTATATAGGAGGTCTGCTGAGGGTGGAGCCAGTCAGGAGGGAGGGATCACTCCGCCCACTGCTCCCTGGACTGACAATTGTTCCAGAACCGCTCATTACAGAGAATGAATGAAATGTGGATCCGCTGTGACTGAGCATGGGTCGTCCATCGTCACTCTGCTGGGATGTCACCACTCACCACAAACAGCAAGGGGGCAAAAGAGGACTATCCTCAAAGTTATTTCTACACCACAAAGGGGGAGATTTCCTAACACTGGAGAGTGCAAAATCTGCTGCAGCTGTGCATGGGAGCCAATCAGCTTCTCCCTTCAGCTGCTTCAATGAAGCTTTGACAGGGAAACCTGGAAGCTGATTGGTTTCTATGCAGAGCTGCACCAGATTCTGGACTCTCCAGTTTTAGGAATTCAACCGCAAAGTAACAATTTACATTACCTGATACACATTACATCATATGACATCATCAGGAATGGACTGACAACTCATAGGGCCCCCAGGCAATAGGGGATCATGGGGCCCCTGTGTCCTTGCCCAAACTCAAAAAAGCCTATGAAAAAAGTACCAGGGGCATCTCATGGGCCCCCCTACTGACCCCAGGCCCTCGGGCAGTGCCCGAGTTTCCAAATGGTCAATCGCCCCTGGAGAGCATATTAGACCCTGACATCACATATGAGTCATAAAAAAAAACATAGATAAGTGACAGCAGAAAAAAGTCCAAGTGG